CACTGGAGAAGAAAGTATATTATGCTGTTGTTGGGTTGAATGCTCTGTACATGTCTATGAGGTCAAGTTGGTTGATTGTGCTATTTAGTTCCTCTGTAACTTTGTCGAGTTTCTTTTTGGTTGTTCTGTCCCTTTTAGAAAGTGGTGGGTTAAAATCTCCAACGATAATTGTAGATTTATCTATTTCTTTCTTCAATTCTAGTAAGGTTTGCTTCATATATCTTGGTGCTTTTTCGTTGAAAGCATAGATATCTATTATGGTTATTTCGTCTTGTTCAATTGATCATGAGATAGTGTCCTTTTTTTAAATCTATTCTGCTGGTTTTTGTCTTAAAGTTTACTTTATCAGAGAGTAGAATTGCCACTCCTGCTTGTTTATTGTTGCAGTTAGCTTGGTATATTTTTTCCCATCCTTTACCTTTTAGTCTGTTTTTGCCTTTGTGTGTAAGGTGCATCTCTTGCAGGTGTACTGAAGGGTCTTGTTTTCTTATCCAATCTTCCACTCTCTGTCTCTTCACTGGTGCATTCAATTCATTGACATTCAATGTAATTATCAATAAGTATGAATTAATTTCTGCCCTTATATTAATTTTTTGGTAGTGCTGTTCATTCCTTTGTTCTGCATGCCTTCTTGTGCACCACACCAGAGCTCCTATAGTAATGATGGTTATGCCATATTGTGAATATAATTTGTGATACTTGGTTGTACACTCAGAAAAAATTGAAATGGTAAATTTTATGTTAAACACATTTTACCACCATAAAAAATTGTTTTAAAAGAGATCATCTAAAACTAGGAAGAGATTAGAAAAATTATTAATTGAAAAAAATTACTTAGCTTTCTTTAAAATTAGGCTGTAAACCTGAGAAAGGAAATACTGATTTATTTTATCAACAGATGTGTGTTAAAAATGCATTTATTTTTCAAACATCCAGTAAGTATCTATTGTGGCCCAGGTGTCGTGCTAAGCAGGATGCAGATATGCAAAGGTATCTGTGTTGGCAGGTGTGTGTATATTGTTTCAGGTGAGAAAGTCTGCAAGTGTCTATTATGTGATTATGTGAAGTTTTTTTAAATAGTTATAAAATATAACATAAATGCATAAAGAGCATTAATCTTACAAGTAGGTCTTGGCGAATTTTTACATTTGTACACATCCATATAAGTACCACTCAGATCAGATAAAAAAACATTTCCAACACCCTAAATATTTTGTGTTGTACTGCTTGCCAATCAGTAATCCTTCCCAGATATATGATCGCTTGTTCT